ATCAACCACCGCCCACAGATCCACCGCCCAAAATATACCACCGCTCACCCACACACATAGATCCGCCACCTACACACAGATCTGCCACCCACCCGAAACGCCCAAGCTGTTGTGTCGACATAGCAGCGTCGACGCTGTTGCGTCACACAGCACAACAGTGTGTCGCCACGCTGCTGCGTCGCGCAGCAGATCTGGGAGGAAGAGAGGGAGGAGACGGGATGGAAAGGGAGGGAGAAAGGGCGGCGGCGATGGCGACGGGCGGTGGTGGCGGCGGGTGAGAGAGGGAGGAAATATGAAATGGATTAGGGTTTGGGTTTGGATATAATGTTATATTTAAAATAAAGTTTGTAGGGTAGGTAGTGGGGTGGAGTGGGCATATAGATTAATTTAATTTAAAATATTATTGTTAATATTAATTGTGAAATTAAAACCTGATTTTTGATTAAATAAAGTAAAAACCTGATTTTTAGAAAGTTACAACTAAACACCTGGTCTAGTGTAATTTCCATGATTTTGGGGGCTTCGAAGGCCAAATATCTTGAATTAGGGTTTTATATTTAAATAAAGTTGGTGGAGGTGGGTATATATTTAATTTAATTTAAAAATATTATTATTAATATTAATTGTGAAATTAAAACCTGATTTTTGATTAAATAAAGTAAAAACTTGATTTTTAGAAAGTTAAAACTAAACACCTGGTCTAGTGTAATTTCCATGATTTTGGGGGCTTCGAAGGCCAAATATCGCACGGGCCAGGCTACCCAGGCTGCAGGCAATCCAGTCCATTATAACACACCTAAAGGAGATCCAATTCTCCTCAATCCGGCCCATGTCAGCCCGTTACATTGACTACATTATTACGACTAGGTGGCATAAATAATCATTATTTAATCCAATTAATATAATAATATATTCCAACATCAATCATTCATAATAATGCTTAAGTTGTGCTTTCAAGCCGTTAATTTAGCAACTATGAAAAGCAAAGCCAGATATTCATATTAAGTAAGTACAATGAATTTGGTTAGAAGTCAATTAATGGTTGTCTTTCCTTTTCCTTTTGCTAGAATGACTCAAACCATGGGCCCATAACACATTCTACTAATTTATAATTTTTAAAACCCCATCAAAGTGGAAGTTGCGAGTTCAAACGCCATCGGTCCCGACGAATTCAATAAATACATCAATTTTTCTATCTTTTTCTATGAAAAATGTAAACGTGCGAAATTATAGAAGATCTCCTTGAAGATCAAATAATTTCATCGAATTGAAGTATGATTGTCTTGTTTCCACTTTTTAAGTCATTCTCGATACTATATTATATACTGATTTTTTTGCTTAAGGGTGAAAATTTCCTGTTTGTGTTTGTTTTGTTTTTATGCTTTTATTTGAAAAATATCCCATCATTTACCTATGGTCTCAAACCAATTTTTGTGCAATTAGAGTGTTCAATGTTTCATATTTGAAGCCCTNCTTTAGATTTTCGGCCTTGAATACAAAGTGTCATTATCCTTTGACACTGTACAATTTACCTTGTCAAACACGTCATCAAAATAATTATTTTCCAGCCTCGGCCAAACTAGTGCGCAAAACATGTCATTAGTTTCAATCAAAGCTATGGCCATGCTATGTCACATCCAAAGAAAAGCAACTAGAAAGGTTTTGCTAGTGTCAATGTCAATATGGTGTCTCTATCAATGAATCTTTTAAACTTTATGAACAAGTTGAGATTGGCCCATTTGAAGCATGTGTTGTGCAACCATAATGACTTTCAAACTAAATATACATGAATTCCATCTAGATGAAGACAAACAAATATTGATTATTCTTATCGGCGAAACTCTGATTAATACTGAAGTTACTCGTAGTCACAACTAATTTTCCATAATATGTTCTTATATTGCAAGAAACGCAAGTCTTGATTATTCTTATCGTTAGGATTCTGATTAATAAGAAAGTTAATCACAGTCACAACTAATTTTACATATGTATCTTATATTGCTGAATATTGACATCGTCTAAATGTTTAAACTATTAGAAAAGAGTCACGTTTATTTTCATCAAAAGTTTGATGATGAAATTGGACCAACAATCTTTGTCTGCTCAATTATCGTTTTTAGTCAAATCGTCTAAAGTTTAAATCGTTAAAAATGTATTTAGTGTAACTCTTCAACATATACATTCATGTGTTTTGAATCCCCTCATGGCCATTGAGGTGAGTACCCAACCGTAAATTTCAGGGCCTTGTGAAATTAGTCAAGATGTGCGTAAATTGATCCGGACATCCATGGTTATTAAAAATATATATATACATTCATGTGTACTCTCTCCTCTAGAGCATGTGGTGTTATTTGTATAATATAGTGAGATGACTAGTATGCTTAGTGTTGACGAGATAATTAAGCAATGAAGTGGTGTCCTTTAATAATATATAGAAAATTAGGTTATATTCTATTACATGTGATTTTCTTGAAAGCACTCTTTACATATGCTGACAATTAGGATCACTTATTAACTAAGTCATATTTGTCTTTCTTTCACTTCAATTTTCACCTAATTAAAATATTCCTAAGAAATTTTTTATTTAAATTATTTTTTCGTTTGTTAATCTCACTTCCTACCTCATTATTATTTTAATTTTTTAATTTGGAAATTGGCTCAAGATCAATATTTATGCCCATAAATATATTACCAACAAACCTTTTTGTAAATATGACCTAAATCAAGAACTCGATCCCTTCCCGAATAATTGGGACGGTGATCGATTTCATTCATATTAGGCCAAACACATGTCCAAGTTTTGTTCGTCTGAACTAAATCTTATTCTTTAGCTTTTTCTCGATCATGTATGTTTTCACGATAACATAACTCGTCACGAGTGGTTAATAAATTTGCTAATTATCGTGTCACACCAAAGCATAATAATGTCAATTCATGACTAATTACCAGAAAGTGTACTTTGGCAAAAGTTTAGATTTGAATGTGAATTTTTTTTTTTTAAATATGCTTGGTGTGCACTCTGTCTTATCCATTTAGTTTTTCTTGAATTATGTACGGTGTACCCACATACTGTGCTCCCGACATATGTACCTGCAATGAAAATTATACAACATATAAGTAGTTGCTAGTTGCATGGAAAATTAAATTATTATGTAACTACTTGTAAGATTGATACTACTTATTTACATGAAGTGATGATGCTTTTGATGGTGGAGCATACTTTGTGTAATGAGTAAAGAATGTTGCTTATACATTCATTATTTGGTAGCGGTGCGAGGCCGCTTCATGTTTGTCTAATGTTTATAAATTATTTATGATAGGTCAAACTATATTTTATTGACACGTTTTATGAGGTTCATAAGTACTATTCACTTATTCATTACTTATTTATGTCTATTTATAATTTAAATCAATTACAATAACTTTCAAACAGCATGATTCTTTAACACTTCGATGGTCAAATCTATTCGAATCCACCTATATCAAGTTTTTGGAGTATCTTGATATTCATGTCCAATTGCACTTGTAAATTATTTCCGATAAAATTAAAATAGATATATACAGTAGAATGGTAACCATCGCATATGACTAATCGAAACGTATATTCATGTCCCATCTACAATGGAGATGATGAGTAATTGAAATGTGTGTGTGTGTGTGTAGATCGGACTTTTTCAAATAAATTTGCAACATTACTATGCAAGTTGAGTCGAGTCAAGAAATCTCAACTGAGATCAAGTTGAAGATTAGAACAGGATAATCCGCTCGAATTAACCCTCGTCGACGGCACTAGCCTACAAATTCTTTCCATTAGCCATAGTTTGACTTAACTTTTAGCTCTGATATCACATGTAAAAGCATACACAACTTAATTAAAATCAATTACTAACTTGGAATACATAAGAAAAAACAATTTACTTAATTTTTTAAACGTTGAACATATTTATGTAGTTTCAAGCTTGTGGGTGCATGCTTGCATCACCAATGACTAATGCTTTCATAAGAAATCACCAAATAGAAAAATATAGTTACTTAGCTATGTGGTACTAGACAACTACTAAATACCTATCATAGCTCAAAAAAGCTAAAAGGTCTACTCACCAAAAAGAAAGAAAATGCCCAAAGCCCCCACCCCACCCCACCCCACCCCACTAGCCCCCAAACACACACGTACAAAATCAAAGGGCCCACAACGCTCAACGGGAGGATATATCTACCCCCACCCAACAAGCAAAATCATGAAAATGGATCAATCGAGTGATCATAAGTTTGAAGCGACAGTGAGGAATATAATTATCAGTTTAGTACATACATATTTTAATTTAATGCATATTTTCTTTATATGTAGTGAAATGCATGTGGTTAACTGTGCATGGATTTCTCATTTCTTGATTTTACGTTTGATTATATGAAAATTTTTGATAGAAGTTGCAAGTTAACTTAGGTCATCAATACATAGATAATCCAAAGTACAAATTCCCTTAATTAATTCCATCATAACAATATTGAATTAATTTGCCACAACATTTTTCGAAAACAATAACATTGGAAATTTCTGCAAAAGCTAGCTAGGATCTAATTTGGCAAACTAATTTCATCGAGATCATCAAGTGACAAGAAAACTTCATCCAAGCATGAAAGCTCCGTCCCATCATCATCGTCGTTGTCACCATTACGCTCGTACACTCGACACACCACCCATTTACTGTAATCCTACAAGAAAATATAATTAATTTTCCAACTCACAAAAAAAAAAAAATGGTTATTCCATATGAGCCACATTACTTAAATTATATAAATATGCACTTACTGGTTGGGAATTTCTTCTTCTTGATGATCTACTAGTAGAAGAAGAGTCTGAAATCCTATATTCCTGCATTATCCAATTTGTTTTGACACCTTCACCAATGTAAAATGCATAATATTTCTTCATCCCAACCTTTTGGTTAGAACTAGTGCTGTAAATTGGTTCATCAATCCCTATAGCTTGCCAGTATCCACTGCCAGTAATTCTACTCTGTGTTCTTCTGCTGTAAAAGTACCATTTGTTGCCTTCAGCCATTGCTTTACCTACATGACATATATATATTAGAAAAACACATTTAAATAAGTAATATATCCATTATTCTATATCAACATAAAGTTTTTAGATAAGTTCGTTCAACGTAGTATAGACTGATAGGGGCGGAGCCACTTGACGGCCAACGGGGCCATTGGGTTTGGAGAAAAATATAATCGATCTTATTTTTTGGACTGAATGATACACAAACAAGGATAAAAAGGGAAATCAAGAGGGAGGCTCGTATTGGAAACATTACAATATTTTTAATATGAGTCTTATTGCTACCCCATTTATGAAAAGGCTGAGTAAACGCGAGATGAAAATTATTGGAATGAGAATTGGTTTTACCCTCTAAATCCCATGGATCATAGGGATAAAGATCAAGATCCGGAATGACATCAGGATGGCAAGGCAAGAGTTCTGCTTTTCTGTGAAGGAAATGAACCACAAGTTCTTCATCAGTAGGATAGAATCGAAAACCCGGTGGCAGATTCACATTGTTATCCCCCATAAATGATCAACCTCTCAAAATGAAGAAGAAGTAAGAAAATATGTATGTATACTTAGGATTATATGAAGTAAGAAGTGATAATTAGACTGTGCCGGTAGAGAATGATATATTTATAGGGATGAAAAAGAGGAGAGAGAAAAGAATTGACGTGAGAAAGAAGAGTGGGTTTGTGTTGATCACCAGCACCATCAAGATTCAAACATGCTCTTCTTTATTTGGTGTTTTTGGCATTGAAAAGTGGTGGATCATGAATTCTGCTCTAAACGGGAACGTTGGATACTTTTCAAGCAACGGATTTTCTTCATATAATAGGGAGGTTGGGGTGGGGGTAGGGGTGGGGGTGGGGTTCAGTATATGAATACTGTTATTTGACGATGTGTCAGTATTTCATTATCACATAAATTGATGATAAGCACAAATGAAGTTGAATAACATTACGTATACAATATACGCATATATTTTTTAAATTTGGTAATAGGGTTCTATATGTGTATTTGCTTGATGAGGGAACATGACTTTGCGGTCCCTAAATTATTGTACGAGTTGCAAGTTAGTCTTAAATCCTTAACATAGTTGTAAAACCGGTTATTAAAGATGGAAAATGTAAAAATTTGCATGGGACCTTTTATCATGACTTCTACTCGTTGCATATCTTGATCTACTATTGTACGTAAGAATGTATTTGTTGTTGCAGTTTGAGCGGTAACGAGTGTCCCCTCTTCTCATATCCTTAATCCAATAAGTATTGATCGAGGATCAAGAAACCATGAAATCATGTACTTTCCATGACAATGGTATAATTGAGACTTGCTTAAATATGAATAATCTCCTTTAGTATTCTAACATGAACTAATACATCCATCTCTACGTAAACCATTTCGTTAGACGTTATGTGGTTTTCATAAATATGTCTTCAAACATTTTGAGCATTGATTCAAGTTAATAAATTAATAAAACCTAGATTTAATAGAGACTTTGATGTTGGAGGCTGATTTTGCATTTATGATGAAACGTTGGTAACCATCTTGTTCTTTTTCAAAGGTTGAATATCAATTGTACAATAGGTTGAGGACCGATAGTGAAATCCTCACATTATATCATCCACCTCGTGCCATCGAATGTCATGGATGACTTGAGTTTAGTTTGTGGACCGTAGGATCTAGGTGGAAGGGCCCACTTAGTGAGGAGTGCTCATAAATAAGAGAATTTTCATAATTAACTTGTCCATATAATTATTAATCACATACTTAGTTTTACAATTTTTTATCCTGTATAATTTTGTTTCATTATTCATTTCCTATACGAGGTTGTGGATGATTGACACTTGCCTGTTTATAGAATTTAAAATCAATTAAATTTTGGTGGCCCCATCGGTGTCGATTTTCTTGATTGAATGTTTATTCTAAAGTAATCAAGATTAATTTGAAATTTACACATTGTTTTCAACTTCATAGGATCCACTCATCTTGGATAATGAATGGATTTACCAAAATCTACATCAACCAATAAGAGAAAATGTCTATCTCAAATTTTCAATTAAATTTGCGTATACGTATTGTTCTGATATACAAGTTCATATTTTGAATAACACTAGCATAGTTGCGGTTCCTGGCACGACTTGCACCTTTTGACAGGTCATGCTTGGTTGAGTTGTTCAAGAAATAAAAAGCTCAGCAAGAGTCGTGTTGGGTAGGCAAGCCACCGAACCCAATTTTTTTTTTTTTCAATTTGTAGCTGATTTATGAAAAGAATATTTAAAACACTCTCGTGGGTTGCAGTCTTAGAAGTCACAACTAGTAAGACGCATCTCTCCAGTTGAGTCTAGTCAGGTCAGTTCGAATTGTGCCGAACGTAGGTTAGACCAAGCATAGGTAGCTTGTCTACCATCTCATAGCTAGTTGTGCAGTGGATGCTCTTTGCCCATGCCATCCAATAGTTATTAAAATTGGCATTTTCTGCAGGAAATTTGGTACAATTCAACAATATATATGTATGTATGTCTAGAAATCCACTTTGGGGAATACACTAATGAGAAAAAGACCACAAGTGTAAAACAAAAACGACTGTGTTAATGTGATGTGGGGTGGGGTGGGGTGGGGTGGGAGAAAATCTTGGAAGATGCTCATCTGCAGTCACAATCTTTCTATTAATGTACTGTTACCATTTGCACTTAAAAAAGGGGAAGGACTATCCATTCATCCTTACTCAGCACTTACTCATATATTTGGTGCATGTCCATTTCACATCCAAGCCAAGTGCTAACAATTACTGTCCTTCTGATATCGAGCAGTATCGAGAAACAAAAATAATTGGACATCTTATTTGTTATATCGTTCAATCTTGTACTTACCGAACTTTTTTTTTAATGATTTAAACAGAGTTTGTGAATCCTAGGATAGGTTTAGTGGCACACAGACTTCTGTCTAGCCATGGTTTATTTGAGGTGGACTATGTATTCAAGGGATTAGTAGGGTGGTTGTACACCCAAGTCACATGCTTTATTTTATTTAGTTTTGAATGCTCTGAATTGAAGATATTTCTATAGATCCCACCAAAAGAGAAAAGGAAAATGCCACTTGATGCCCATAGGAAATGGAATCCTTATTCTAGGAGCATGGAAAATGATGGTCTTATAAGGTAGAAATTCAAATAAGCCAAGGCCTCATAAAGTGATGAAGGATTAAGCATCGCAATCGACTAAATAAAGTTTGTTGATCTGATTTAAGATGAGTACAAAGATTCACCACTATGAACATTGAACTCAGTTTCAACATTTGCTAAATACAAAGTGTCTTGGTGAAAATTTGTGGATAAATTATTCCAATAACTAACCTTGTAAGCAGGGGTTGAATATGGATGACGAAAAAATCCGTCAAATCCAATATCCACGGGGTTTCGCCCCAAATAGGGTGGGGATTACACGTTTAATTAGGTATTCGGGTAGGGGATGGGGTACTTCTACCCGAGGCGGGTACGGGTGACAAGAGCCCCACCCCGCCCCATTTAATCTTTAATTTTTTTCAAGAATTCAATATTTTTAATGAAAAATTTCACGGAATTTCATTAGTTTTAATAGAAGATCGCAACTAAAACTATCTAAGGAATATGACAAATAATAAAATCTTTAGTTCACCAAATATATTTGAATAATTTAACTTGTAAAAATAAATTTAATTAATTAATTAATATATTATCTTCTTGCTTTAATGAGTGGGACAATAATATGAATTATCAAAAAATGAATTAATTAAAAAAAAAAGTAAATGGGACCCACCTTGAATGGGTAATAGGGCGAGAAATTACTCGGTAGGACGGGGGTAGGAGAGGTTGCCCGACCTGTCCCGTTGTCATCCCTGGGGCGGACACTGGGGTGGCCGAGGATACGTGGCCTCCAACTTTTGGGCAAATCCTCTCTTTTTTTCTAATTCTCTTTGTTTTTGTCTCAATTTTAGAAGTCATTACGGAATATCAAATGAAATCGAAATATTGCATTCTTAATACTATTTCTAAGCGATCACGACCTAATTTTCTATGTCGCTAATAGTGAGCGAAACGGTCAACCGTAGCAAATATTATGGCTTATCAAAGTAGGTCGTTTCACACTGGTATTTCGATAACATACTAATTTTAAAAATTCTCCGATGATCGTACGCTAGCCGAATTCACAAATCGCCTAAGTTATCTCGAAACTCATTTCGAGAACTATATCGTAGATATCGAATGGTCCAAATAGACATCGAAAATAGTTAAAGGTACGTCAAACATGCGTCTTAAAAATAAGCAACTAACTCGTCTTTTATTTTTAAAAAATTTAATTTTTAATTAACATTGATTATTTTTGCACGACAAATTTTCTCAATATAATTTACATCATTTTATTTGAAAATTTTACATGGGGTATGACATCAAAAAATTTTAAAATTTTACATCTGAAAAAGTCATACCAACTTTTTTGAAAATTTGATTGTGCCCCCTTACTTTTCGAATGTAAAATCTTTGCGTTCGTCGCTGCTTATAAGTACAAACTAAAAGCATGCAAAAGAAAATTAGAGAAATAAGAGGGGGGTAAATCGGAAAAAGAGGTCGGCTTTTGTCCTTAAGATGAATTGCCTTGCATTTGTGTCAAGGTTGAACGACAATCGTCTTTTAAGATACAACGATCTCTACTTATTGTAACAGCACTTCAAATCATAAGAAGCACAAACAGAAATGTGTCTCTACTCTCTTTACGAAGGACTAATGCAGAATATCTTTAGTATATGTAGGACAGAATGACAACGAATTAAGCCCCTGTTTGTCTACCATTATTCCAAAAAATTCTTTGCTACAGTAAAATTCTCCATCACACATTCACCCAATAAAATATTCTACATACAAACGAATAAAATTACTTTAAATTGCAACCACACATTCTCCAAAAAATATTATTCATTACTCTATTTTTCTCTCAATAATGGGAGACAAACACACCCTAAAGACGATTGGAATGATCCAATTCTGCAAATTAGAGTTTCATGCTGACCTCGAAAAATGGATATTTTTAAAAGCTATTGTTAAAGTGTTCTGTCAGAATTTTGGCAAGAATTTCCCTTTTTTTGTTGGTTTGGGGGGGAGGGGGGTTAGGTTTGTTTAGGAGCCAATTGTTTGCAGAAAAGGAGAAAGATGGGGATTCCGGTGTTAGTTTGGTCAGAAAGTGCCCTTCAATCAAAAAATATTTAAATTATTGAAAGTTTGAATTTTAGATTTTTAACCCTTCAGTTGTGCTAACAGTTCTATTTGTAGGTGATTTTATGAGCTTTTTGGTCATTTTTGTAAGTTGACATTCTCCAATCATTATGTTAGAAGTCATGATTAAGTTTAATTTTTAAGGATTTGTTGAAGTTTGGGCTATTATGACATTTATCAATCAATTCATTGTGTGCACATATGAATTTATTGTACTGAAGTCTGTTGAATATGACAGATTCCGTACTAAATTTTTCACCCATACTAGAGGCTTGTCTGAGGCCTTTAATCGTGTTTGTAACCTTGTGTTTGGATTTTGTATGTTTCGTTGCTAAATGGTGCTTCGACGGTCGAGGCATCTTTCATTTTGACTGTGCCTCGACGACGGTGGTAAGAATATTCAATGGCATGTAGACATGCAATGGAGCCCTTTTATAGCTATTGTGGAGTTGTGTTAGATAATAATTACTTCAGCATGTAACAATTCTTATATACAAATGAGGAAATGTGTGTACCAACAAACAACTTTTTGAATATGACATATCCTCTCTGGACATTTTGTCCGAAAGACCTGATTTATCATCCGAAAAGACATTCTTTTTCAATCATACATGTTCTAAAATGTTTTGTCATGTTGGATATCTTACCATACACTAATTCTAACTTCAAATAATTTTTATGTCTAGCAGGCTCGTGTTTGATCTTAGTTTATCATTCACTCAAAATTGATCCGAAAAACTAAATATATTAGAATAATCTACTCATGAATAGAACGAGTTCGGCCTTCGAACTTTTGTAATCAACTAACCGATACCGTTTAAATAATTGGTTAAAATTGATCAAAACATATCGTTCAATAGTTGTACAATCTAATATCAAACGGTAAAATTAGAAGCTTTTGAAGTCACCCTAAAGTATTTTACAGCCATAACGTAGTTGAAGTATGAACATTGAATGACTGCATAACTATGTCACTTCTTTGTGTACAATAAAAAAACCCACTTCTCATTATTGATGGAAAAAAGAAAGGAAGAGAAATTCACTTTTTCTTTTTCCCATTATTAGGCCCATACATATCTTTCTGCCTAATTAATGGCTTTCAAATCTTGAAAAATCAATGATTTTTGTTTTACACGTCCATTAATAGGGATAGAGGCTTTGATTTATCTAACAATAACAAAAGAGTGGATTGAAGGAAACCAAGTTGGAAATGGAGAAAAGCATGTGTTTTTAATTTTCTTACACACATAGAGGTGTCCCATCCAATGATAACGTGATATTTTGAGGGAGCTAATGATGCATTTTTTGTTTGTAATTGACTAGTATCAAACAAACTATGTGTTAAGGTGGCATGTCTATGTCACAAGCCATTCACATTATTAATCAATCTCAATCTCGTTGACAACATTAGCTTATGTTACTTTCGGCTAAACTCGTCAAAATTTAGGACTTTGATTACAATGATGAACGCAATAAGAATCGGCTAATCACGGTAGTAGAGTGCTTTACACGTGTTGCTATATGTCATTGAGACACACTGTTAACGTGGGGGTTGATTATTTCATTGATCATCGAACTTTCCACCAAGTTAGTGCGATGTTATTGAACTTCAAAATTTTCTTTATGGTCACTCAACTTCAAATCGTGTTGTCGATAGGTCATTTGTTCAGATTCCGTTTCAAAAGGTTAATGAGCATCTATGTGGCACATGGAATTCCTGTGTTTCATAATTTTAAATAACCCCAACCTAACCAAATCCTTTAACTTATTGCCAAAATCGTATATTGAAACCCATTTTTGCAAAATAAAATGACAATTTTTCTAAGACTAAAAACTAAAACCCCAAAATTCACATCTCCAATTCATTCGGTCATTGAAATTAGCTCCAAAATTAGGTGTAAACCCAAGGGTTTCGAGTTAAACTCGCCACAAGGTTTAGGAGTAAAAAGGCTACTTTTGTGAAAACGATTAGAATTGAATATTCACTGCAACATAGTGCTTAAGGGTCGTTTGGCATGACTTTTGCTTTTGTAGAAAAAAATTTGAAGAAAGTTACCTTAATTTTTATTTGGAACTAATTTTTAAAAGAGTTTTTTTTTTTATTTCAGAATTGCATTTAGAGGAAGTCATACTAGACCAACTTTCTCTAAAAGCTCTTTTAATTCGAAAAAACACTTTCATAAAATTAATCAAACAGATTCAAAAACAATTTTTGAATCTCAAAAGCTCCTTTTTACTTCTCAAAAATCATACCAAATGGACACTAATGCATGATGCTATCTGTCATTGAAGCACACTGTTAATATGTGGTTAATCATTTCATTGGTCATTTGAAATTTCCACCAAGTTAGTGAGATGTCATTCAAAATTTTCTTAAAGGTCACTTAACTTCAAATCATATAGCCCGTACGTAGTTGGTTAGGATTCCATTGTGTCATACTTCTAAATAACCCCAACCTAAATAAATAGTGTAACTCATGGCCCAAATCATTTTGGAACCATTGTTGCAAAACAAAATGTCATTTTCTCTAAGATGTAAAAGAAAGACCTCCATATCACACCTCCATTTCATCCAGCCAATCAAAATTAGATCCAAAATTAGGTGTAAACCAAAATCTGGGATTTCTAGTTAAACTAACCACAGAGATTAGGACTGCCAAGGCTACCTTGATGAATACAATAAGAACGGGCTACTCACTGCAGCAGAGTGCTGCTATTCGTCGTCTAAGCACACCTGTTAAGATGGCATGGCCATGTCATATGTCATTCGAATTATTAATCAATATTGTTGAAAAGTTTAAACTGTCGCAAAGAGTAAATCCTCTTGTATTCTGAATTCACTCTCTCATTAAATGCAAAAACACAAGAAATTTTTTATCTTAAAACATGAGTTCTTTACTTTTGATTCCTCAAACTCTGCTGTCAGGTTCAAGTATGTATAAGTACTACCATGTTCGTTTAAAAATAGCCTCTAAAGTAACAGTTTCTTTTCTTTTGGCTTCTCAATTAGAATATCTGTTGCAAGATGGAGGTGCAGATTCAAATCGGCCGGCCTAGGCCATGGGCCATGGCTGAATGGCATGGCCCACCTTTTGTTTTCAGTCCACTTTACATCTCTAGTGCCATAAAATGTCCAAGTTTCGATACTCTTGAATAGTACATCGAATTAATACTCTAGTTGTGCAGTTCAAATATAATGTACCTAGTCTATTTAAGTCTACAAGTGTCATCTTATTGTGTGGTACAATTGCTAGATATGTAGCTTGCCTTGTAGTAAAGAGCATAATTGACGACTAGGTGTAAATATCATGAATTTCTACATCTGATGTTAAATAAACTGAATAATGCTATTTAGACAGACCGGTGCTAAAGATGACAACCTTTAATAGGTCCAATTAAATGTGTCATGTGTCGCTGCATTTAAATAAATCTATCATTTAAACATATGTTGTCACCTGGACTGGTGGTAAAGTTAGACATCATTACTCTAAATCAACCACCATTTTCCCTCATACTTTGTCTTACACTTTTGAGAATCAAGAGATATTCTAATAGTACAATTCATCAATCTCTTTCTAAAACAAGGTCAATCGTTGCTTATTTTGAACTACTTCTATGGCCACATAAATTGTATAGTTTGGTGGAATGCAATCTCTGGGGTTTTAGAAAGCAAAAGACACCGCAGGAGAGAGATATCATGAATTTCACCTACACATGGTGGAATGGGATGGACATTCACACTACACGAGCCTCCAACTATTTGCGGTGTTAGTGCAAGGCAACTTACCTTCGTGCTAAACTAGTTTCACTTAAAAACTAAATAAACTTGCTGAAGGCAAGATTTAAATGAATATATGTGAACTCTTTATAACAACTTAAGTTTTTAGATGCAATGGTAAGACCTAAGTTCGTGTCTCTTCACAATCCATTTATTAAATTTGTGCACGTGTCAGGGATTTAATGGGAAATGAACCAACATGCAAAGAAAGAGGGGTGTTGAAGACAAGATTTAAATACATGTAAAATGGTTAACACTGTCGTTTCTCTCATGATGAAAAGTTTCACCGAGTTCACTGTATCACATATCCCTAAAGTATAAAAGGTCCACTTGCTCATGCCCACACAGGCCACTTCCAATACCAAGATTCTATAACTGTGGGGTGTCAAAATATCTCAGCAGCGACAACAATTTTTATGATGTTGGATCTCATTTGACTAGTAGGAATGGGAAACGAGTTGGTTTTCTTCTATGCATCAATACAGCAGTATACAACAAAACCAAAAGAAGGCTTGCTATAAGGGCATATGCAAATTCCCGAACGGGCAGTTCAGCAATTTATATGATTAGAAGGCAATCACATTTGTTGTTCTATTTCAAGCAAAACTTTCGAATGGAATATTCCATAATTGAAATGAGCAAGGAAATAATGCATGTGTCATCTACCAGTTCTTCTCATTCTCAACAACATTATACTGATAATTTAAGTAAAAGAAATGACAGCATAATCAAATGTCGCATGTGTCGTTTTCTGTAATTCATATTTAAACAAGGGAAACAGGGAAGGACAAAACTCACTGACACATGTGATGGCTATGACTCACACCCTCAACATGGCTTGATTTGAATTAAGGTGCTCATGAATTTGCCTAAATTTCTCTTTAAGTCTTTGAATCTGCATACCACAGCTGTATTTAGTCAAAACAAAACAGTATAACATTCACCATTGACACTGAAGAAAAGGTGATGGCTAGTATGATACCCGTTTCAACTCTATTTCTGCTTCCCGCTTCTGCTTCCCCAATGAATGCTGCAGATTAGTGATATCAAATACATTTTCTACATCTTCTTCAAATGCAGATTCTAAGTCTTCCCGAAGAAGTGCAGGCAACTTGTCAACAACAGGCATCAGAAGAAAACAGTTGAACTGCAAAACAGAAGCCATGGTTAATAATTTGGAGAAACTAAAAGCATTTCACTTCAACATATACAGTAAATAAATTATGGCTAAGCAATGGGAAATGGATTAATTGGTCCAATATTTCCTAGTTGAATAGAGCAACATCAAAAGAGGAAATCAGAAAAGCAGACAGCAAGATGAAAGAATGCATTTTTCCACAATCATAAGAAATAAATCCATAGGTAATCTCAAAGCATCTTTTAACCAAACACTTAAAGAGTGTGTTTGGCAGGGAGAATTTGATGGCATCGGACAGTTTACGGACGGATAAAAAAAAGTTTAAAATTTTGTTCATTATACTGTTACCAAATGTTCACTTAGATTACCCAGAGGATCTAAACAAGTACATTTTATTGACAAGGAGGTATTCATATTCAAACCTTTAACTCCGCCGATGCCAGAAAATATTCTCTTATGCCGTGGAATATCTGTTGAACCAATGCATAAACAATCCTTTCAGAGGAAGGGCCAAGCCTTCTGTTCCATAGAGTGCTATCTAAAAGGTCAGCCAGCCTTGTCTCTGTTGTCTGAATACTATCATTTGAATCATTCCCTAAAGTCAAATGATTGAGTTTTACATCTACCTTTGACTTGGTATCTTGCTTATCATTTCCTAGAGATCCAGACGGCAAATCTTGAGAAAGATTGGCATACGCAGAATTACCACCCACAGTAGACTGTTCTGATCCACCAAAAGAGTCTAAGAAGTGACGCAATCCAGCTCGATTCTGCAATCAGTTAATGGGCAGAGAATGAGTACAGATGGCAAAGGGGGCAACAACGTTTACAAATTAAAAACATCTTCATTTTGCTAGAGTAGTGAACCCCCTCAGAACATTCAGATCATGTTTTAAACTTCTTTCAAGACTAACCAAAGCTGGAAAAGAAGGTTTCAATGAGAACCCCCCTCACCCGCCCCCCGCATCTTCTGGGGGAAACAAAAAACTGTGTTACTATAACGTTTACGTTGAAGATATGTTCTCCTTTCCTAGAGCCTTCCCGCTCACCCCTTTCTGTTTTATCTTTGTTTCTTTGCCGATCAAGTTTGATCCACAAGGTTACAAGATTTGCAGAAAATCAGTAGAACATATTAAAGTTGACTAAGTGAAAAATTATGCACACAACATTATAACTAGATAAACGTATTTAGAATTATGTTCCATTCTTTATGCATATATTTAGAACCTTAACGAACCAGGAAAAAAATCAATAAATTTAAGAAAGAGACTGTTGCAAACACAACGTGAAATGATTCAAATGCCCAACTTCACCCCCAGCGAGCAGGAAAAGAAATAATTATGGAACTATCCTACCCAATTCCAATTGATAAGCATATCTTTGTAAATAAGACTCCTTCCGAAAAATGTAAATGCCGAGAAAAATCAATCAACGGATGAAATATTGCGAGACTTCCTTGTGTAAACAATTGAAACCTCAAATGGAAATTTTCCTACCTTATTGTGGAGGGACCAAGTGACATACCGAGTGGTGCTTATCAAATCCTCCATACACCTAGAAAAGGTTGAACACCACAAGATATAGATATTAATCAAAGCTGACTAGAAAACATAAATGAGAGCAAAGAAAAAAGTTCCATGTGAACAACTAATATACTATGACATACAGAAACATGGCACGGAAGAACATAAATAATCCTATTAGCACAGGAACATGGAAGCCTCATCTGCCAAATACATAAGAGTTGGGACTTAGGATAAGCATTTAGGTGAATCATAATTTGTTTCGATATTTTCCTTATGAATCAATTCAATTAAAAGTGGAATTACCAATTTGTGGCACCTCTACTGTCTCAGAGATGTTGAACAGATAGAGAGGTGAGATCAGGTAGGTGCAGTGCCGGCCAAACTAAAACGGTGGATGGATAGGGTGTGTCACCCGATTCGGAAGAACCATCATTGAGGCTGTGCAATTGCACACCAAGGTTGATTTCCCCTTCCCTCCCCTTTTTCATTTCCATCCCTGTTACAGTCAAAGTATTGACATTCCTAATTTTCTCATGTTTTTGATTCAGGTCTAGGTCTTTGAGGTGCAACAGCTGACTATTGCAAGAAGATGGTGACAGATGTCCCAAGCTTCAAATACACCAACTATTGCCTGGTGGACTCTGTGAAGTGACCCAAGGTCAGGACACAGGCGCTAACTGGCATAAGTTGCTCTATTGTCTCTCTCTTTAACACCCTTCCTGATATATAGGAGGTGCACTGGACCTTGAGCTCCTCCACCCGACGTCATACACAAGACGTCTGGAAGTGTTGTATAAATATAGCCCATGTTTGGTCCGAATTAAAATCTGATTTTAATCCAAGTCAAAGTCAAGCAATCAATATTAACCACGTCTTTCATAGGTCCCACAACTTTTCAACCACACATTTCAAAAACTTCTATCACAATCTACTAAAAATCTAATTTTTATCCCTACCAAACACCCTCATAATACCTACCCACTATTGCTTTTATAAAAAATAATTTCTTCTCAATGGTTAGCAGAGAAAGGAAGGGTCAAGTATGAGGGTGGCAAGCAAGGGCAAAGAAGATAGGTAGACCTGGCTCAGAAGAAGCAGGTACTATCCTCCGAGTCAGGAAGGTTAGTTATGGCAACTGTTGTCTCCTGATTATTATCCTTAGGATAAACCTTAGGATTAGTTTAACATCCTAACTATTCGTTAAATAGCATAAAGCTACAAAGTACCTGTTCCGAAATTCCACTCTATCAACAGCTTATAAATTTTTTAAAACCACAAGGTACATGCCCTTTTAGCATATTCTCTCTTCAATAATTTTATAAAAAGACACAAAACAAATCTCATGAATTGATGTACTTCATGCTGAAAAGCTAATATTGCTATTGTTTGATGATCGACCATATTAAATGTTTAATGCTGTTGGGAAAGGGATTACTTATTCATATCTTCAGCATGATGATTCTCAGGGAGATCAGTATCTATTCAAATGAATTAAAATCTAGCGGTAGGATTTGTAACTTTATGTTCTCCGATGGCATGTATCTCATTTAAAAACTTAAAAATTGTTAAAAATTGTTATAAGAGATTTGAGGCATTTTATTTCTAGATTCATCTGGAGTGAAATCAGAGGAATTAAAAAGGCCCCCAGAAGTGATCAAAAGAACATATGACCCCATCAAGTTCTATTTAATTTCCACCGTGAAACAATTAAATATCACGTAATATGTTTCTTCAATTTTATCTAGAAGAGTACACAACAAAATCTTTTGCATGAAAATGTAACAAGAAAATGAGACACCCCTTCCCCAGACAGACAAATTTGACTGCAAGTTATGGAATAAAACAATTATAAATTCTTAAAAATGAAAAAAGAAAAATTAGTTTGTAATGATTCAGAGGGAAAATCAGATCTGATTTCATTTGAAATGATTTAAATTTTAATATTATTCGACTTGATTTGTATGATGTTGTAAATTTCTAGATTTTAGGCTAGATTAGCTCTTTACAATTTACTTCCCATATCCTGTAGATTGTGAACACTCATCTCCTAATTTATAAATAAATTCTCTGATTACTTATCAAAAAATATATATATATTCCTATACATATAGTTCTGTAAAGTTATTATAATTCTCATGAGAATTGAATATTTTCTCCTACAATTCAAAAGATTATAATATTAATGTTTGTTAATGAATTAATGTTCAAGTGGCATTGTGCATGATGCATACAAGTTTCAAACTCGAGACAGAAGAGGCATGCTCAAATAAGGCCTCTATGATGTATGGCTAATACCACTAAACAATTTATAGGCACCTCATGGAAAATTAAATTGCATAAACTCAAAGAACAAGTAGTAATTAAAACAAAAAGTCAACAAATGCAATTATTTACTTTTCATGACATGATCGTTCAGTGGATTCTGCAAAGTTGTTGAAGGCAGAGGCAACGCGCTTTAGGAACACTTCATGGCCACTCAGATATTCACCATCTTTCTGTTAGACATCGCTTGCAATAAAATGAATAAGATGTAAGAGCAAGGAAAAAGAATAATAGCAGTATTGTACTTTTAAAATTACATCAGGACAAGTGACAGGCTAGTGAGCTAACAAAGTGTTGAAGCCAATATTTAGATGAAGTGGTTCAACATAGTATTAGAGCAAGGAAAAGGTCTTGGGTTAAGTCGTGCCACCGGCCATTTAAATAAACAATTCACTTGTTGGGCTTTCATAAGAAGAAATGACTGCCTAGACTTGAGGAGGTGCATTGAAGAGAATATTTAAATGTACATGTGGTCCTATCTAACATCTTAAACTTCTAGATTAAATGGTTTAGCACAAAGAAACAAGGATTGTACCTGGAGAAGATAAACAGAGATGGGGAGCAATCTCTTCAGAATGTGCAAGAGCCTGTTACCCAACTAGTACCCACAAACGGAGTTCCATTTCAGTCATTTACAGAAATCAAATAAATGAAAGAGAATAGAAAATGATCACAATTTTGTAAAATATGGGAGCTTGATCAAAGTATTAATCATAAATTGCAGGTTTTACTTGCAGATCTCAATTGTATGTAAATAGGGGGGAAAATTATTTATCTTCTTTTATCGAAAAAGAATAACAACACGAGATGCACTAATTATTATCTTTCAAAAAGTAATTAAATTATTTTCTGAACTTAGATACTGAACATTAGAACGAATGAATCCCTCCTAAGAAACTACCATGTTCATATGTATTTTTCGTGAATATATCAACTTCCACCCAACTATGCTCAGCACCGTTTTCCTTGGATCTAAAGTTAACAACTAAACACACGTTATGGAAAATATGATATCTGACCAAAACGAAAGCATTGCTCTCTAGTTCTATGGGTATATAGTGTATTATATAGAAGAGCCTTTTTCCAGTCCTTTTTCATTAGTTGGTTGCAGCTCTCGATATACTTTGCTAAAAAAGCATGTCATAATTGAATAGATAAATCTTGTAAAAGTCCAACTCTAGCAATTGATTATTACCACATTTACTTGAAGGGCTTTCTTAATTTTACTATTAATCTAAGAAACTACTACAATATTTCCAGACACTTATAATTTGGAGCTATTATTAATATCATTGTTATTCTTTTTCAGGAGAAAAAATGTGATAAATGAAATTTGGTAAAATTTCTTAATTCCAGTTCATTTCAGGTTATATATTGTGAACAATGTCTTTTAAGCATGGATATGAAAAATAAGCACTCCTGTAAACATGAAATTATGTATGATTCAATCCATTTGCACATCCCAAGGCGTGTATCAATGATCCAGTTGAGCAATAAATGAATAACAAAGGAAAAATCATAGTAGTACAAACTGTTAGTAACAACCAAGAATCCATTAGAAAGTTGCAGCAATGCAAATCTTCAGCAGATACTATAATCTGGAAACAGAAGTTCCAGCTTTATTAAGCAAGAAATATGAGGTAAGATCCGACTCAATCCAGCTTAAGTCTTGAGAACTGACTATTACTCTGAAGGTCTCTATTGATAGTTCTCTATCTGTCTGAGATTCTTAAGTTGTGAATTAGGAATCAGATTGAAGAAATAAAAGCAGCCCTCAGGATAGTTTTAGTTATTCTGGTTTCACCTAGAAAAGACCCTTTCAAGCAAGAGTGTAACATTATGCATGCAATCTACCTACTGAATTCTGGTGAATTGGGACATATTCTAAAAAATTTTGTACCCCCTCAGAACTTGACTGTTAACTGAAGAAATAACCTAACTGCCATATGAGCATGCTTGACACAACTCCCAAGGAAGAAAGTGTGAAATAGAAATCCCAGAGGCATCACCATCCAAAACTAGAAAGCAATAATGACCGATCATCGTCCTCATTTTCTGCACACTTTTTGTTTGGACTGATAAGCATTTATATGAAAACTAATTAATATATTATTTCAGAAAATCCAGCAAAGCAGTTGCTACTTAAGATTCAAATTGGATCTGTATGCAGATATTAATTCCTATCCTAAAAAGCTCTTTCCTAGACCAAACATTTTCTGTTGAGTTCCTGCATTGTCAACTTCATATAACACATAATGCTAGTAAATGCAAGAAAATTGTCATACAAGTACTGATTCACACCTGATGAAGAAAAGGTTCAAACGTATCACGAGCTTTTGTGACAGCAATTACGCACGCTGTCCTAAAAGAGCAAGCAAACAAAAAAAAAATTCAAAAATCGGAATTAACAAACATCAGCAGCCTAGACAGATTAATATCACGAATTTACTATATAGCTGGAAATCCATGAACACCTTGAATAGTTTGTCCCATCATGGATGTCTTCAACTCCACATGCATTCACAATTTCTTCACGTGTAATTGGAGGGCATTTGAATCCTCCAACAACAAAACGAAATTCAGCCATTGCACGATGATATTGAGCACCTCCATAAAGGCGCATCCCTGCATTCTGCACAGTAAAAAAGACAATGAAAATATAAACCAAGATAAAACTCTAGATGAAATAGATATCACAGATCTAGGTTCATTTTATTAGGATAGCAGCATGAAGAAACAATTCAGATATATAACAATAGTTTGAGAATCATTAGAATGGGTAAAGAACATGTGGACCATAAATATTTGAAGAAAGAAAGACTAGTCTGCTATCTTTGAGTAGGCACAAAGAAAAAAAAATTCTAATTTGAGAACTCAGGCTACAATCATCTTACCTGCGATTTCTGATCTTTCTGTAAGCTAATCTCAACTACATAAAAGCAAATGTTTTTAAATCAAGTGCAAGATTAATGGACAGTGATACAAGAGTGAGACGCTCAACAAGAAGAAGAATATCTCACTTTGTTGCACGGACACTTCAACTAGGGTAGCGTGTTCTTGTCCGATACGTATCGGACATGTGTCGGATAACGACACTCCTCGGACACTTTATCATAGTCATTTTTCTTTTTTTATAAAAAATATTATACATTTTTAACTTAAAGTTATTATTAAATAACAAATAGGTACTCATATTTAAAGAATTTCAATAAAAAAAATTAATGGCAAATATAGAACTAAATTTATACTATATAAATAAAAAATTTAAAAGAATTTAATCAAAGTCTTGGCGACGTGTTTAAAAATCACGTGTCGACGTATCCGACATGTGTCAGTGTCGGTGTATCAAATATCTCATATCTTCTAGAAAGATTCAACCTTCATGTTTGTTGAACTCAAAATTTCGTGCATCATCACAATTCGGTCAAAATCCAATTGTCTCCGAGTTCCAGCCTCATGCTCACAAATGACAGGAAATAGCTTCAATTTTCCAACTTTACTTGTCTTAAAAGTAAGAAAATAATACCGAGTGGAAGACATACTAGGATGGGCAAAACATCACAGTGAACAAAACTGCATGAACTTATTTTTATAAGAGTCAAGTTCATAATTTGATTATTATATTCAGGCAGATTGAAGTAGTCAATTAGCCACAAACGTACAAAAACAGATACTTGGATTTGTGACGGTCACATACCTGATAACAAAACTTAGTATGTTTGCAATTGAGATAATTAAACAAAGTAACTTTGTCAAGGTGGACCACATGAAAAAACAAGGGCATTAAGATATTTATTTCAAAGCATACGCATTACAAAGCATATCAGAACTTACGGGTATCAACTTGTGTGGGAACTGAAGACCATCAGAGCCAATAAAAGCTCCTCCATTAACCCTCTCATCTTGTAGTGTTTCCCCTGCAGAAAGAACACAATTGAGTTAATAAAGGTCCTGAGAGAAAACAAATATTAAAAAACCTCACATTTCACGAGTCCTTGTACTTCCAACATTTTTGAGGAGAACCTTGTAACGAGTCCATAAGGAGTTCAAGTAAACCAAAGCTTTTTATATTGACAATTAAAATAATCATTGTTAACATCTAAAAGGG